CGCGAGTTTTCAAAATCGCAATAATCAAACACGGTTTTGATGATAATTAAATTTTAAACGATAATACTAACCGTCAGGGCATTTTATCATGATTTATCGTAAAACCGGTAATCGTTACATCCCTAATCTGGATGTTTTGAAAGTTCAGAAAACATTTAGAAACAATGTTTTAGTTACTTAATATGAATGGACAAAGCGTTCTTATAATATAATTTTTGTTAGCTGGGAATAATCCAGTTGCACTAAAAGCAGAAAGAAAAGGGATGATCAACAACAAAGCATATAATATCTCAGTTAAATATGTTTTAGAAATATCAGGCACAAAATGTGGATAAGGTTATGCTCCAAAACTCAAAGTGGTGTAAGGCCAGTAATGCAACTTATTTTGTCACTGGCACCGCTGTCAGGAAACTGCTGTGATGTGTGATTCTAGGGCTCTGCAGGTGGACAATATTCAAGTACATTGCCTTGTAAGAAAATATAATTTTAGTATTCTCCTGTGGAAAATCTGGCCTATGTTTAAAAATAGGCTTGTTTTTAAAATAACAGTTAATTCCTCAGATTTAGGTAGTGATGGTTAAGGATTGTCAAACTCTTTAAGTAGGTCTAACTTATTATTAACCTAAACTTTATTAATTCTGTGCAGTAATTTGGGAGGAACAGAAGTCATTTAGTAAATGAAAACTCATTTGGTAAATCTATCGGCAAGCCCATTTGTGGAAACATCTTGAACAGGAAGAAAAAGTGCAGTAACAATGTTCCATTGTGTATTCCCATAACATCAGTCATTTGAAATTCAGAGGGATAATGAGGTCTGATAATGAAAGCTGTGACGGGACAAGGAACAGCCACAGATAAAAGAAAGTGAGAAGAAATCTGTTTTCGGGCTTGTTAATGTTTGGCCCCTACAGGGCACTGTCATGATTAGCCCTCCATATATTTCCATAATTCCTGTGATGCTCTTAAATGTCCTGCTGTGTGCATCTTCAGGAATCTTAAAATGCAGTAATGATCAGAGCTGCTGTGGGTCTGGCCAGTGACACCCCGCTGGTTGTAAGCAAGACACGGTACAAACGCTATCTTCATAATGACGCTGATAATAACTAACAACTTTCTATTATGATAGGACTTTAAAAACAACAATTCAAAAAGTCACATGATGCATTTCTTCCCACAAACTTTTTACTTTGCATGAACAGGCCAAATAAGCTGATATTATTTCATAAGGCCAGTGCACATCTAAGACGACGAAGATACAGAATAAAAGAGATGGCCATTATGGACCAATTATTTTGTGACGCTGGATGAAAACTCTGTAATCTTGTTTCTTTCAGTCTCTCTAGATGGTTGTGATCTCTGCTCTATTAGCAGCTGTATTGACAAAAGCAGCAGACCTGGCTGTGGAGTGTCAGTAAATAGCTCTCTGGAAGCTGCTGAACTGTCTCGAATACAGTGCAATAATTAACTCCGAAATGGATTTGGCTTTCTATCTAAAGAGAAAAAATAGCTTTTGTTATTCAGCCACTCTGCTTGCTGATCACACAGAGAATCCAACTGCTTTCTTTAAACCTGTTGAACACAGCTCTAACACTGAGAAGGCTTTAATACTGTACATCTTGTCAATCCCAGCAGTGAAAAATTGAACTACAAAATGACTTCTCTCAACGTGACACAAAAGCGGACAATAATGAAAGGCCACTGACTGAACAAATGCATTCCTATTTGGATATAAAAGGGACTCACTGATGCTGTCCTCTCATCCCTTTATGACTTTATGATAAAAGAGGGCCGCTGGATCGCTACAGCACTGAATAGGTTTGGAGCAATATTGCACTGAGAAAGGAAAAGGAGGGCACTTCATTTCCTCTTATTGACTTTGGAGGCCAGTCTTGACGTCATCAATACAAAGAATTGTATTGAATTGTGCCTGTCTTGTGCAGTTGATTGGATCACATGGCACATTCTACAAATATCATTCATTAGGTGTTCTGTTACTTTATTTTTGTGAAACCAATGTACTTTGGTCTACAATGTTATCATGAACTAACAAGGAACATGTGTATTTTTATTAACTAACATTAACAAAGATTAATAAAGTCTGTAACAAATGTAATGTTAATTGTTAGTTAATGTAAGTTAACTAACATTAATAGGTTTTGTAAAGTGTTTTTTGTAAAACTATTGTAAAGTGTTACCAATATCATATAATGCAGTAATGATGAGCATGCACTATATTAAATGTATGCATTTATTTGATGTAATTATTTATTTTTTCAATTAAAATTAATATATAAATGTAAATCAGCACAGCATATACAATGATATTTACCTATATATTTTAGATCTTAATTTTTATGTTACAACAGTACTTATAATGCAGAATTTAAATAATTATTTACATTATAATGATAAGAATGGCGTGTTTTGAGTTACAGAGGGGTTTCAGAGGGATTATAATAATTCTAATAACAAGCTTAATTTTCTTTATGCAAAAAGTTCTTTTTTTTCTTTTGATTTTGGAGTGAAATATGACATGTTTTGGAGATTTTTGTCAAATTCAACCACATATAACAGTCTGAAGTGGATGAATGACATTTGAAGATTAAGCACATCTTTTTCCTTAAGCTTACAGAAGAACAAAAATGTCAGTTCTATTTTGGAATATATCCGTGAGAACCACCATATAACAGAAAGCCTGTTATACCTCTCTCTCTCCTCCCTTTCTCTCTGTATGTGCTTCCCTTCTCTCTTCAGTAACAGAACCATTACAAAAATGGCCAGGAGTAAAGAACACTCATATTGTAGCAGAAGATTGACTGAAGAAAAATAAACAGATGCCCAATGCCTGCTGTATCATTGTCTCTCCCATGCGGTTCAACAGAACCATCGTGCCTTTGAGACAAACCAGCCCACTTCACAGTGCAAAACAGCATCTCTACAGGCCATTCACAAATCCTCTCATCAACGTGACATTTGTATGGAATGAGGAAACAACTGGCTCCATTCAGAGAGGAAGCTTAAACAAGGCTGTCTACATTTGGCACACAGTATGTGATAAATACTGAAAGAAAGCGAACTTAAAACCATGACGATGCAACAGGAAAATAAATGTGTGTCTGTCGATCTGGCCGTTACTCTTCTGCTACTATGGCAACAAAGGCTACATGGACCACTGTGCAGGTGACTGAGTAATAGACAAAAATTTGCAGTGGTTTCCATGGCAATGTAATTGACAAAGCAGTTGATTTTTAAATAGTACTTCACATCCATAACAACATTTTGCAGGCTTGCTAGGGGTAACCTGAATGAAATTATAGCTACGTAAACTTACTTAAAAATCAAGTGGTAGTAAAAATTCTGAATATATAAGGCAAAGTGGTTTGGGGGACATGATGCCCTCCCTTTATTCAGGAGCTGCAAAGTAGGGATGTGCAAAAGTACATGTATTTTGGGTTGCCCAAATTACTAGTCAGTCTTAAGGAAGCAATAAATCATTACTTAATAATACAATAATATTATATGCAAATATAATAAAAATAAATATAATTAAATTAATTGAGACATACATTTAGATCAATTGTTATTTATTTTAAAATAATTTATTAATAATTTTAAAAACATTATATATTATAAATAGTATATATTATAAATAAAATTATTCAATCACAGTTCAATAATTCCAGGTTTCAGGGTTGTCTTGGCGTTCAGGATGCAGAGTGTTAAAGTAATTAAAACAGAAAGCAGAGGTTCCAAGACTATTTTTATCTTAAAGGGATAGTCCACCACAAAATGAAAATTTTGTCATTAATCACTTACCCCCATGTCGTTCCAAACCCGTAAAAGCTTCGTTCATCATCGGAACACAATTTAAGATATTTTGGATGAAAACCGGGAGGCTTGTGACTGTCCCATTGACGATCC